AACCTTAAGCTGGCCAATCCCACAGGCTCAGGACACAGAGTCAGGAGGAGAAGGGCTGGAGGAGCGAGCTTTTGCAATCTGCACCAACTGCTCTGGCCTCCCTGCTCCTGGGTGGTGATGAGCAGAGCCTCAGACTGGAGAGAACAACGAAGCAGCCACTTCCTTCCTCGCCGGGGTCCTGCGTGCTGTGGTTGCCAGCCGGTGGTGAGGTGAAGCTGCTGTGGCAGGGGCTGCAGGAGCCGCCCTCAGCCCCTGGCCCCACCCTGGCCCCTGCTGTGCCCTTGGCGCCTGGGTCCTGCTCTGTGGGGCTCTGGGGACACACCCTGTATCTCTACCCCACGCAACCAACATTCTCACCTCCAACGGCTCTCAGGTCTCCCCCTCCCTTGGAAGGGGTGTCTCAGGCTTCTTTGGCCCTAACCAGAGGCCATTCTCCAACATCTGAGGATCCTTGTCCTTCTAGAATCTTTTTCCTTCACCCTCTCTTGGCCTCCAGCCTTTTCTGTCCATCCCCGTGACTGCCGCCCCTGGCTCAAGCAGCCACATTACTGGTCTCCCGGCTTCACGTCTGTACTTTCAAAACAACCACCATTACTCTCATGTCACCACCATTATCAACTGAGGACAACCAATTGCTGCCTTTACCTGCCCCTGAGCCGAAGTCGAACAGAAACTGCTGATAACCTTAATGCCAGCTAATATCAAACAGAAGAACGAAGGATTCCACTACCCATTTCCTTACCATCACTCACCACCATCAGCACTCATTACCACCGGCACCAACAACCCATAATAACCAATCACCATCGACAGTAACAACCACAATCACAATAGTAGCCGTCAACAAGCACATGTAACCTACCACCACTGAAGCAGCGGTCAGTTGTTCTCTAGTCACTAAATCGTAACTAGCAGTCACAGACTCTTCTGCGACGCTGTGGACTGTAGCCTGCCAGGCTTCTCTGTAAACGGGATTTTCCAGGCAAGAATACTGGAATGGGTTGCTATTTCCTTCTCCAGGGGATCTCCCCGACCCAGGGATCGAACGCAGTGTCCTGTGTTGGCAAACAGATTCTTTAGCACTGAGCCACCTAGGAAGTTCAGCATTCAATCATACCCCTTTCCAGACCAACAGTACATCACCACCAGTCCCAAGACAGTCACCCAAATCATCAATGAATGACCAAGAGCAAATGAACATCACTGTCACCACCCAACTTCAAACGATGACCAACTGCCATTATTCTAGAGATCAACCCTCCAGAGGAAAGCAAGCAGCCGCCAGCCACCAATATTCAACACTAGCTGGCACTAAAAGCAGCCATCCCTGCCACCACCACACCACCGACATGGGACAGCAGACAGCAACGACCACCGTCATGAACAATGACATCAACAACCCAACTCTTCCACAGGAACCAAGAATGAAGCCACATCCATCCATCACCGTGGCTAACTCTCACCATGAATATGCATCACCCACGATGGCTGCGGCTGTGTATGGAGCATATTGTGTGCTCTGTGAAGCACTTGACAAACATCATTTCACTGACTCTTTCAACACTCTTTCTGGCATCCAGCACCCCTCCAGGAAGATATCAGCACCCCTAGACAGAGGTATTAACTTCATGGATAAATTACACTCTTTTTTTTTTTTTTTTAAATTTGTGATCCTCTTGGGTGAGTTTCTCCCTTCCCAGACCTGGTTGGCCAAGCAAATCATTGACTCAGCATTTCACACGGTTTCCTTGGGAGGGGTTGCTTTTCTCACAAGTAGCAAGTTATTTCCTGTGTTTCTTTGATCAAGGAGTCTTCCCGGCCGGCTCAGTCTTGGAAGGGCTTCCATCTCAAGCCCAGAGCTCTAGCTGATGGTTTGCTTGCGGGTTAACCAGAGGGGTCCGTGGCCCGTGATGCCCCATTTATCACTGGCTTTCTGAAATAGGGTGATCTCGCAATCCCTGCCTCTACATTGCAGCAACTGCCAGGAACCCTGCAGTTGTCACCCTTAGCTCTGTGACTGTCCCCAGCCACACGCCCTAATGGACAGGTTGACAAAAAATGAAAGCTGAAGTGGCTTGCAGAACCATGGAACTTTGGCTGCGGGGGACAGAGGTGTGACATTTATAGCCAGCCAAGTCTCCTCTTCATGAGTGTGACATGATGCTACTGGATCTAGACCGAGGACCATGACTGTCTCTACAACCTTATCACCACAGTCATCATCAGACCTCAGTCTCACCAGGCGGTGATGCTTCTGGGTGCAGTGTTTTTTTCCCTGCCACCCTCCAGCAGAAGGTAGCGTGGTGGTATGGACAGGTTTCATCTCACCCACTCTCGCTTCTGTGATGACTACGCCAGACCACCCTGTCACCCACACTGGGACGCCGGCATGCCACCGTCATGACAACCCACCACCCACTTGACCCAGCTTTCTCTCCCAACTGTGGTGGGCTCAGAGAGGCTGGATCCCAAGACCCTCTGAAGGTTCCCCCAAACACCTTCCACATCCTGAGAGACTTCCAAATATGACATGTGTGGGAACTGAGGCCTGCAGAGGGGGAAGTGACTGGCCCAAAGCCACACAGGGAGATGAGGCACCAAACTTGGCTGGGAACTGGGTTCCCCACACCCCAGGAAAGGGGTTTGTCCCTGCACCTGCAGGCGCTGTGTGAGCCTTCAAAACCATCTTCTGTCCTCCGGTTACTCCTCCATCCTTGGTGCCCCAAGCCCACCCTGGCATCGTGTCCACCACCCAATGGGAGCTTGGTGCCCGGTGTGGGATGCTTGGAGCACCTGAGTTGTACGGCAGAATCCCAGAGGGTCTGCTGTGCCCATTCCCATGGTCCCACGTTCTGGTGGCGGCCTCTAGACACTTCCATCTGCCTGGTGCCCCCGACTGCGGCACTTCGGGGCCCACCCTGATGACTTACCATGGTGGGGGCTGGTGTCTGGGTCCCCGAGGAGGTGCCTGGAGGGGTCGCGGGAGGGGCGCAGGCTCAGGAGGCTCCTGGGGGCGGCTCGGGCATGGCCCTGCTCCTGCTCCTCCGGCAGACTCCAGGCCCCAGTTCCTCTTACAACAGCCCCCTTCTCACTTCCTTTGGCGGGAGGGGCCCGCGGCTACCGGGGAGGGAAGCTGAGCCTGGGGGCGGGGAGAGCGCCCAGACGGGCCCGAGGGAGCTGCGGGTCTGGGGCCCGGAGCCTGAAGGGAGAGGTTAAGGACGGAAGGCAGCAGCTGCCAGACCCCAGGAAACCGCGTCTCCAACCCCCTCGCGCCCGCCCCCCGTCACCCGGGGACCCGGCTACATCAAGAGGGACGAGGGTCAGCTGGCTGCAGACTGATTGTTCAGTCCTGGGCTGCTCGGGAGTCTTCCAGACCCACTTGAGATGTGTATCTGCTCTGGGCATCCCGGGGCAAACTCCCACTTCCTAAGCCACTTCCGCTGGTCTTTCTTCCAGGAGGGACCTTGGGAATCAGGTGCGTTTCTGCCAGGGAGAGAGCAGTGGGAGTGGGGGGTCCCGAGAGCCAGGGGCATTTGGAAGGTCCCAGACTTTGGATGTTACGTCTAGAATTAATGACTGCCCCCCCCCCGTCCCAGCTCTCTTCATTTTCTCATCCCAAAACGGCGGCGGTGGGGCTGGGGATCCTGCCGGGGGCGCCTGGCGCGCACATCCGTATTAGTCGCTCAGTCGTGTCTGACTCTGTGACCCCATGGACTGTAGCCCGCCAGCCCTCTCTGTCCATGGGATTCCCAGGCAAGAATACTGGAGTGGGTTGCCATGCCCTCCTCCAGGGGATCTTCCCAACCCAGGGATGGAACCCGGGTCTCCAGCATTGCCGTCAGATTCTTGACCGTCTGAGCCCCCAGGGAAGCACATGGCATTCATCAAATGTTGGCCCATCTCCTGATGTTTGGGAGACCAGCAGGCTGGTCTCCTCCTGACGTTTGAGGAAATGGCAGTTCCGAGAGGCTGTCGTCTGCCACACAGTGGGGAAGTGGCGGAGGCAGAAACCGACCTTGGGAGAGCCTGGCAGGAAGGCCTGCACACCCGGGTATCCCCGCGCTCCAGGAGGCACACCGCATCCGGCGCCGAGACTGGCGTGCCGCGGCGCCCCCAGTGGCCACATCTGGGGAGCAGCCCGTTTCTCAACCGACGGGCTTGGTGCCTGCAAACCTCAGCAACGTCTCTAGGGCACTAGACGTGAACAGTCAGGACGACACCCCCGCCCCCAGCCTTATTGAGGGCGTCAGGGGAGGCTTCTGGGAGGAGGCGACTTTTTTTTTGCTGAGACTGCGAAGTGAGCTGGAGTTAACCAGGTGAAGGGGGAAGGGGAGCGTAAACCTGGCAGAGGAAAACAGCTCTAGCAAAGGCCCTAAGATGGGAAGATGGTGGGTATTTTGAGGAAATTTCAGGAGTCCAGTGCGGCTGGAGACGGCAGAGTGACAGGGAGTGTGGTGGCTGGGGTAACAGGTGCCAGATTGCGTTGTTTTGGGAGTCTCTGTGAGAAGCTGTATTCTTAAAAAAAAAAAAAAAAAAAATTATTTTAGGTTCTGTTGGGTCTTTCTGGCTGCACCCGGCTTCCTCCAGCTGCCGCGAGTGGGGGCTGCCCTTCCTTACTGTGTGTGGGCCTCTCATTGCGGTGGCGTCTCTTGCGGAGTAAGGGGCTGCTCCGCTTCTGTAGTTTCAGCACACAGACTCCAGCACGGGCTCAGGAGTCGTGGTACTCGGGGTTAGTTGGCCCACGGGCATGTGGCATCTTCCCGGCCCAGGGGTCCAACCTGTGTCCCCTGCATTGGCAGGCGGATGCTCAACCACTGGACCACCAAGGAAGTCCAAGAAGCAACTGTGTTTTTGACCTAGTTACCGGGTTCTAGTCTATGTTGGTATAAGTCCCCTTTGGGCTGTTGGGGCCGACCTGTGAGGGGCTGTGGCCCCTTCCAGGGCGGGGGGATAGCTGAGTTGGACCCATTCGCGCACACACACAGCCTGGCAAGGAAATCTACACAAGACAGAACTTTATTGATGTAGGGCTTCCTGGTGAGGGGGTGTGTGGGCCCCAGGGCAGGGCCTGTAGCACCATCATGGGGGTGGCCTGGATGACGGGGTCCCCCTGGGGCAGGCAAGGCAGAGAATGGGGTGGGTCTTCCCAGCTCTGCCTCCCCCCTCTAGCTGGTCTGGTTGGGGGCAGGGTGTCAGGGAGGTGGTGCTAATCCCCTCCCCCATAGCGGACATAGATTCCCCCCCCAGCTCAGAGTGGAGGGGCAGGGCAGTGCTTGGGGGGGCAGGGCACCGGCTGACCCCCTCCCCACCCCCACTCTTCACAGTACATATTCCGATCAAAGGCGGGTGTTGTGTAGGGGGGCTCCCTAAAGGTGGGTGGCAAGAGTTCTAGAGAGAGCAACTGTTCCCAACTCAAGCTCACCCTGGGGGGGGGGGGGGTCTCTCTGTGAACTGAGAGGTGCGCAGAGGAGGGGCCGTGGGCTTGGCCAGCCCCTCTCCATTCCCTCACCCCCCTCCCGCCCCCAGTCAGGAGCCCTGCAGGAGTTCCCAATAAATAACTTCCAGCTCCATCTCACCATTCACTCCCAGTTCCTGCCCCCTTGGGCTCCTTCAGGCTGGTCGGCTGCAGGTCTGGTTCCCCCCACCCCCAGCCCGCGCACATCCAGGACTCGCTCCGAAGGCCGAGCGCCCTCTAGCGACCCTGGCAGGTTTTGCAGCACATCTGGCGGAAGTAGGCTCTGCTGCAGAACTGAAATTTCAGCACCAGGGGGCAGTAGGCGACCTTGTTCACATCCTTGCACTCTGAAAGGGGCGGGAGAAGAGGAAGGGGAGGGGAATCTGGTCTCAGCTCCTCCCCCCTTCCCCCCAACCCGTAGCCTTGCGACCAATGGCTGCACACCGCTTCCTAGCTTCTCTGTGCCTTGACTTCTCAGCTCTCAAAGGGGGGCTTCTAACAGTAACCATGTCACTAGGCTTTTTGGAGAATTTTGAAAGAGAGTGCAGGTCTGGGACTTGGATACCGTGTTAAAATCACGAGAAAAGTGTTCCTTTCCCAATTACCCGTTTGGCGTATATAACCCTTGCTCGTTTCCCTTTGTAACAGACTAGGGACTTTGAACTCCAGTGTGGTCCTTCCTCTCAGGGTATATGTGTATTCTGTGTTCAAGGGTAACTGACAGTCTGTTCCTGATAATGGACCAGGGTTCCCATTTAGTAGTCACTGATGTATGACTGAGCCTGGGCTACACGTGGATTTAGTCTTTCTCCTTAAGGTGGTACGGAGAAGGCACTGGCGACCTACTCCGGTACTGTTGCCTGGAGAATCCCAGGGACGGAGGAGCCTGGTGGGCTGCCGTCTATGGGGTCGCACAGAGTCAGACACGACTGATGGGACTTAGCAGCAGCAGCAGCTTAAGGTGGTATTACCTCCAGTGAATATATTAACACATACCACCACTCCTCCGCCTCTTGACAGATAAGAAAACCAAGACACAGAGATGGAAGATGAATCCAGGCAGTTTGGTTCCAGTGCCTAGAGTAAGTAACCTATAGCTCTCTATGAAATATACATTTACTTAGGTAGAAAGAGATCGGCATATTTAGAGCAGTGGTTTCCAAGGGAGGTGGTTTTGCCTCCCAGGGGATATTTGGAGATGTCTGGAGGCATTTTTCGGTTTTCACCACTGGGAGGAGGGGTACCATTGGCATCTAGCAAGGTCAGGGATGCCGAACCATTGACAAAGCACAGGGCAGCCCCCGAGACAAGGAACCATCTGGCCCCAAACATCAATAGTGCCTGAGGCTGAGAAACTGATGCAAAGAAAAACATCAGGCAGATACTGTAGTAGCTCCCTTTCATGGATCACAGCCTTGTCATGGTGAAGGGGTTTGCATAACAATGGAGTTATGAGCTATGCCTGCAGGGCCACCCAAGACGGACATGTCATAGTGAAGAGTTCTGACAAAACGTGGTCCATTAGAGAAGAAAATGGCAACCCACTCCAGTATTCTTGTCGTGAGAACCCCATGAACAGTTTGAAAAGGCAAAAAGAGAACACGGGAAATGAGCCCCCCAGATCAATATGCTACTGGGGAAGTGAAAGTGAAAGTGTTAGTCGCTCAGTGTTGTCCAACTCTTTGTGACCCTGTGGACTGCAGCCTGCCAGGCTCCTCTGTCCATGGAGTTTTCTGGGCAAGAATACTGGAGTAGGTTGCCATTCCCTTCTCAACCAGGTGGATTCTTTACTAGTCTGAACCACCAGAGAAGCTCACACTGGGGAAGAGTGGAGGGCAAGTTTTCCATGGGGTCGCAGAGTCAGACACAACCTAGCGAGTGAATGACAGCTAATGTCATAGATGGAGATGAACAGGGAGGGTCAGAGTCAAGGAGGTGATTGAAGGGATGACCTGAGTTTGGGCCCCCAGAAAAATCGGGTTCCTACAACGCCTAGCACACAGGGGTACCCAATACATGCTGGCGGGCAGGAGATGATGAAAGATCTCTGGAGGTGGCAGAGAAAGGGATGTCAGTGTTTGGAGGCACTCTCGGGACAAGGGTCAGGACCCTCAGCTCTCCTATCTATGGCATCCTCTGGACAGGGCCCTCCCGGTCCCGCTCGGCCCCCCAGCCCCACAAACCTTCCAAGCCGTCCCCCGGGGGCGCGCTGTCACACTTGGCCTCGCACTGCTGCGTGGCGGGTGGCCGCAGGGCCTCGGCGCACTCGCGCGACGGCTGCCCGGTGTGGCTGGAACAGCGCACGGGGCGCTGCTGCTGCCCGAAGCCGCACTGCGCGGAGCACTGTGAGGAGTCGCCGATGAGCGGAAGCCTGGCACCGCCGCCCACCCCGCCACCCCTGCCCTGGGTCCCCGCTCGGCAGGGGGCGCGCGCCTACCTCGCCCCACTCCCCCGCCACCCAGCGGGCCGGAGGGCAGCGGCGCAGGTTGCAGCGCATGGTGGCTGGTGGCTTGGCCGCGGGCTGGCAATGCGCGGGGGGCAGAGTGGCGCGGTGATCTGCGCTCTTACAGAGGACCACGCGGTGGCGGAGGCCCGGCCCGCAGCTGGGAGTGCACTGCAGTTGGGAGGGGGCGTTTCATGCTCAGTGGGCGCCCCACTTCCCGCTTGAACAAGGACGGGGGTGGATGCTGATTCAGTGGGAACGGAGGACGGTATAGCTAACTTTGGACCAATCACGGGGCGCCCACTAGGGCCAGCGGGAGTGGGGGGGCGCCTGGAGGGGGGGTGGCGCCCGATGTGGGGCCACCCCGGCCCCTCCCTGTTCTGCCTAGGGAGTGGTGGGTGGGCAGCGGGCGGGAAGGGGCGGCTGACCTCCGACCAGTCGAGGGCGGCCCACTCCGGAGGGCAGGCGGGGCCGTGGCAGGCTTCCAGTACTGGGGGGCGCGGCTGCGGGCAAGCGCTGTCGTCCAGCGCCTTCTCCTCGGCCGCAGACACGCGGCGCTGGCACACGACAGAGCGGCTGCGCACGCCTGCATCACAACTGCGGCTGCAGCGAGACCAGTTCCCTACCACCCAGCTGCGGGGGGAGGGGGCGGTCTGAGACAGTAGGCCGGGCAGCACCCTGACCTCGGGGCACCAGCAGGTCCTCCTGCCTGACAACCAGAATCCTATGGAAGCTGGCACCGGAATGCCTGCTGCTCCCGCCACCCTAGAGCCCAAACTCAGAACATCTTTACTCTGGACCCACACTGGGGGCAGGGAGGCACATCACCCCAAGGGCAGACAATGACCTGGACTTGACCAGGGAGCACCACTGCTCTGAGTCTGACTCTGGGACGCCCCTGACTGCACCTTAGGGAGCCTGGACTCCTCTGATCCCAGGAGCTTGTCACCCCGACCCTGCATCTCCGCCGGCACTCACTCAGGTGGGCAGGGCTCCGTGTTGCAGGCACGCTGCCTCTTGGGCAGCTTGCTGTGGGCGCTGCAGTGGTGGGGGGCCACGGCGGAGCTGTCCAGCTGATTTCGGCACTCTACGGCCTGCACCTGGCTGCCTGGGGGCGGGTGACAGGCCCGCTCAGCCCTGCCTGGCCCAGAAGGTCAGCCTGGTGACCAGAACCTGCCCCATCCCATCCCAGTCCTGGGTCTCACCGCCTGCACACTGGGCTGAACACTTGGTCCAGGGCGCGTAGTGCCAGGAGTAGGGAGGCAGTGCATCACGGGCGATGGGTGCATTGAAGCGGTAGCGGAGGGCGGGCAGTTCAGTTCGGGTCAGTACCTGGGGTCGCAGCGGCGGGGGGTGGGGGGCGGGGGAGGATCAAATAGAAGCCAAGTTCGAGGTCCCAAAAGGATGCTAACGTCCTCCTGCACCGTGCTCCCAGCCCTGCTGTTACCATGACGATGAGAGATGCGTTAATGGGTCCCAGGGCTTCTAGGCTCTGGGTCTGATCCGGCCCTTGTCGGAGCTGAAAGGTGGTTCCAGCCAGGGGCAGGCGGTGGGGCTGGGGGGTCCCAGGTAGCCCCTCCAGCAGCAGGGACTCCTGGTCTCCCTTCAGGGCTGGGGGACAGCAGAAAGGTCAGAACCCCAGCCACGCTGATACCCCCACTAACCCCCAGTCCTCATTCCCCCACCTCTGGCTCACCCAGGTGACTGAGGGAGAGGTTCAAGTCCTGGATGAAAATGTGGACGGAGCCTTTGGGGATCCAGACGACTTCCTCGTACCCTGGACGGGGGAGCTCAGGTGTCACTGGCTTGGTCTGGCCCTGTACCTGCCTGCCCACCCCACCCTCCACGCCTGGTCCCTGATGACAGCAATTAACCATTACTGTGCCAAGCGCTTACAGAGACGCCCGCTGTGTCTCTGGCTCTGTGAAGTAGATGCATCATTATACCCACTTTACAGATGACAAAACTGAGGCTCAAAGAGATGAAACAGCTTGCCCAGGTTTTATAGCTAGGAAGTGGTTCAACTGGGATTTGAACTTCAACTTTCTTACCTCTCCAACCACTAAAATGGTTCAACCCACCCTACCCTAAGACAAGCAGCAGGACTGAGCTTTGGGCAGAGGGAAGGGGGTACCATGGGGTTCCTGAGCCACATATGGTGACTTGATGGTTTTAGCAGTCAGAGTCAGGTTGCCATGCGCTCCATCACTTATGACCTGGATGATCTTGGGCCCCTGTGGACCCTCTGTCCTTGCCCACCTGCATCCCCCATGCATACTGGTTTATCTGCCTGGACCCCCACATTGTCCCCTGGAAACCACACTTGGCCTTCAGTGCCTGTTTGGGCCCTTAACAGTTTCCAGCTCTCACTGCCCCCCAAACACTCCCTGGGGTCTCTTTCCTTCAGCCCAAGGTTGGGAAGTCCTCGAGTTCACCACACCCTGCCGCTACCCTTGCCCCTAGTAAGCTTTGTGGTTTAGCACAGAGATCACCTCAGTCCCCTTGGAGAGTCACGCTCCTGGCTCCTCAAGATGGCATGAGACCCTCAGGGTGGGGCATGGGAGAGATTTAGGTACCCCCCTGGGATGCTTTCACTGCGAAGGTTTAGGCACCAGAGCCCAAGCTAGTTTCTGGCTGTGACCCGGGGCACCACTCCTGGATGTTCTGGGGTGAGCTGTGCCCCCAGCTGCCAAATGGGGGAGTGTGGGAGGGAAGCTGGGGTCTCTCACCAGTCCCAAGCAAGGCTGGGCTGAAGACCCCCTCGATGGTCTCGCAGGCACTCCCGTCACCTCCGCACACGCGGCACTTGTCCTCCCGCAGGTCGGAGCCCAGGACGCGGTCGCAGCCCACGTGCTGGGGAGGGCAGTGGTGGGGGAGGGGGTGTCGGGGAGCCGCCTCCCACCTGCAGCCACCCGCCTCCCCTGCCATCTCCGGGAGGCCCCTGCACCTTGCACTCGCCGCTGACACAGATGTCCACCGTGTCCGGGCGGCAGGGCGTCCCGTCCACCACGGCCGCGGCCCTCTCGGTGTAGAAGTTGAAGCCCTCTGCTAGGCAGGTGAGCGAGCAGGCCTTCACGCCCCCTGGGGGGCACAGCCCCGTCAGACCAAAGGCCGGACCCCAGACCCAGCGAGGATGGGCAGGCTGGGCAGAGGAAGTGGGGGTCCCCGCTGTTTAGTCCAGGCACTCATAGGCACTCTGGTTCCTTGGGAGAGGGGCTGCTCAAGACAAAACCCATGATCCTGTCTCCACCTGCGGCTGCCCACCCCCCCACCCCCACAGCCCCACGACCATCTCAGTCCCCTGCTCACCTCCCCGGTATGTCTTCCATGTGTAGAATTTTCCACGAAAGGGGACGCTGTCAAATTCAGAGCACTGCATTTCCCTGAAGTCCTGGGAGCCTGGGGGACAGTCCTGGGGGCGGGGGGGCGGGCACCAGAAGGGAGAAGTCAGGAGGCCAGGTACAGAGTGTGGGGGGGATGTAGTTAGGGCAGAGGCCCCAGGGTTGGAGAACTTATGCTCTGGAGACTGGAGGCAAGGAGGCCAGGGAGGAGGCCAGAGGGACAGGTGCCTCTGCAATGGGAGTTAGTGGGCAAGCTAAGAATGACACCTGGGTTTCTGGTTTCAGACCATGGGGCCTTTCTTGAGAGAGTGGGCCTAGAAAGGAGTCAAGCACCCTCTTCATGAGTGTGTGGGACTTGTGGCTGGGAGTTTTGGACAGGAGACGGTGGTCCCTGGTCAGAAAGGAGTGCAATGAAAACTTGGCCACTGGATTGGCAAGGAGCACAGGGTCAGCTTTGGGGCAGGGGTGGGGCTTTGGGGGGGAGCAGAATTGGGCAGTAGAGGAAGGGACCCCTTGTGGCTGGAGAGGGTTGTCAGGGCCAAACAATTATCTCCAGGTGGGAGACGCATCTACTGCAAATGTGTGAGCTGGAAGGAGCTGGGACCCAGGACAGGTGTGGGGAGGGCTGGGAAAGTAGCGGGTGGCCGCTGCAGGTTCCAAAGGAGATGGTGGCCACCCGGTCAGAGCTCATTGGAAACTGACTTATGCCTTTCTTTCCTCGTGTCAGAGGGACCTCGGTTACCCGGCTTGAGGTCCTGGGGAACTCACCTCGGTGTTGCAGGAGCGGTGCCTCCGTCTCTCGCCCAGGCAGTACTTGCCCCCGATGGTCGGCCTGGAAGCGGGGGGCGACAGGAGAGAAATGGGGCAAGGGGAATAGCGGGCAGGGGCCTCCCGCCTCTACCGGCAGAAGGGCCTGAGGGCTGACCTGGGGCTGTCGCAGTGTCGGCTGGAGGAGGACACGCCGCCGCCGCACGTCCGGCTGCAGTCGCCCCACGGGGTCCACGGGCCCCAGGCGCCGTCCACGCCTTCCGGCCGCGACCCGAAGGGGACGCAGACCCGCTTGTAGCACCACTGCGGGTGGGATGAAGCAGGGGTGAGTCGGACTCTGCAGTCTCGAGGCCTTGGCGATCATTCCCACCTCCTCCCCAGCCCCACAGCTTTAAGCCCTCCGGGGGTGGGGCGAAAGGGGGGGAGGATGGAGGTGGGGCCCGGAGACCGGGATAGTATAGGGTAATGTGGGGGCGTGGCCTAAGCACACAGTCCCCAGCAGTGGGCGGAGCTAGTATTGGGCAAAGCATGCAGGGCGTAGCCTGGGAGGGGTGTGGCCTCGGGCAGGGGGCGGGACCTGCAGGCAGTGGGCGTGGCCAAAGCCGATGGAGGGCCCCGGCGGTGGCCCAGGCTGGTCGAGGCTCACCCCCTTGTCGATGGTGTGTGTTTGGCACAACGTGCCCTCGGCGGCCGGGATGCTGTTGGTGATGCACCGGTTGCTCTTGCTCAGACACCACAACTCGCTGCAGACCTCCTGCGGGCCAAGGTGCCCGCTCAGGCTCGGACCCTCCCTCCCACCTTCCTTGGGAGAACCCAGGCGACCCGCTCAGTGGGGCTCCAGCCTTCCTTTCCTGGGTTTCTTTTTGCAACCACTTGCAGGGTATAGGAGGGGACCTCTTCTCGGGCTATAAGCAGCACTTATCAAACATCTAGTGAAAGTGAAAGTCGCTCAGTTCGGTCCAACTCTCCACGATCCCACAGACTATACATACAGTCCATGGAATTCTCCAGGCAAGAATATTGGAATGGGTAGCCTTTTCCTTCTCCACGGGATCTTCTCAACCCAGGGATCAAACCCAGGTCTCCCACATTGCAGGCAGATTCTTCACCAGCTGAGCTACAAGGGAAGTCCTATCAAACACCTAGGAGAGCCTCAAACTCCCTTAGGCACTATACTTTCCATTTTACTGCGGTAAAACCAAGGATCAGAGAGGTAGGGTCACTTGCTAGAGGTCACACAGCTACTAAGGAGGCAATCTGGATTCTATCCCAGAACTTCAATCGATCGCAGGGTCTACGATCTAATCTCTCTGTAGTTCAGCCCCTTCTTTAGAAGCTAAGTCTGTCTGATCCCATGGATTGTAGCCCAAACCCATGGATTGGGCTTCCCAGGTGGTGCTAACGGTAAAAAATCTGCCTGCCAATGCAGGTTAGATGTGAGAGCCACAGGTTCGATCCCGGGGTTGGTAAGATCCCCTGGAGGAGCACATGGCAATCCACTCCAGTATTCTTGCCTGGAGAATCCCATGGGCAGAGGAGCCTGGCAGGCTGCAGTCCACAGGTTCACAAATAGTTGGACACAACTAAAGTGACTTAGCACACAGGCCCTTCTATCCATGGGATTTCAGGGCAAGAATACTGGAATGGGTTGCCATTTCCTTCCCCAGGGGATCTTCCTGGGAGTTCAACCCCTGGCACCTCCCAAGTTTTTAGAAGGAAACTTGGGACCGGCTGAGGAATAAGGAGGAAGGATGCTGGATTTCTTTTTAGAGTGGGCAAAGCAGGCCATCTCAAGAGCTGTGGTTCTGAAAAATCCAGGCTTGATGATGGCTCAGGTCAAGGGCCCCATCTTTAACTTTTTATTTATTCCCCCAGCAGGTGGTTCTTATTGTTTCCCCAACCTAAACTGGGGAAGTTCCCCAAAGTTTTAATCTGTGAAAGGTTGAGAGAGGATAAGGTCAGGCTGGGTCTGTGTGGAAAGCTGCTCTAGTTCTCCCAGTGAAAAATCAGCCCATCTTCTTCCTGAGTCTTACTTGGGCTGGCTCGGACTCTGGCAACCCACTCTTGCCTGAAAAATCCCATCAACAGAGGAGCCTGGTGGGCTACAGTCCAAAGGGTCACAAAGAGTTGGACACAACTGAGCAACTAAACACATAAGACAAAGACTCTGGCAGCAGGTCCTGTCCATGGCAGGAAGCTGGATCAGTCCCAGGGAGCCATTCTGACCCTTTTGGTCCAGGTTAATTAATATCCCTGGACAAGCCTTCCTGGGTTCAGGTGTGGCCAAATCTGACCCTCTAGCCTACATCCTGTTCATTTCCCAGAGTCTTGCCTCTGAGATGCAGAAATCCTTCTCGCCTCATTTTACAATCACATGTACTCTTCTCTTTGAACCCGATCCTCCCAAGCTTTGAAGATTTGGGATTGGACCCATCAATGGCTGCAGGAAGGGACGTTTCCCGTGTCAGCCTCTGAGAGACAACTGCACACATGTGAGAAGCTTACAAGGTGGTCCTCAAAACTTGCTTCCTCAGAGGACACTTCTCATCTAAAAGCTCAGCCTGTGGCTCCTTTGGTGGCTCAGTGGCAAAGAGTCTGCCTGCCAGTGCAGAAGTCATGGGTTCGATCCCTAGTCTGGGAAGATCCCACATGCCTTGGGACAACTAAGCCAGTGGGCCACAACTATTGTTCCCAGGAGCCACAACTTCTGAGCCCATGTGCAGCAATCACTGAAGCCCATTCACCCTACAGCCTGTGCTCTACAACAAGAGAAGCGCCTTCAATGAGAATCCTGGGCACTGCAACAAAGAGTAGCTCCCGCTCGCTGCAACTACAGAAAAGCCCACACAGCAATGAAGACCCAGCACAGCCAAAAATAAATAAATAAATAAATAAATAAAATTATTAAAAAAAAACACACAAAAAACTTCAGCCTGGTTCTCTGGCTTCACTTGGGTTATATCCTCCTGGCCATTTGTTAAAATACGACAGATCCCACTTCTGACACCTCTTAAAGAGAACTGCCTAGTCCAGCCCTGATCATGCTCCTTTCCACAAGGAGGTTCCACGGTCTGTAAGAAATGAGTCCTGGGTCTCATTTAATTCTGGGAGACTTTAACTCCAGCACTGATTTACAACACATTCCCCCTCCCCAGGCCTTGTCTGTAAGATGGACCTTGCCTACATATGGCTGAGAGGTGTATGACAACAGAGTCAATACGAAAGGGCTTGCACAAACACCTTGTTACGGAATAATAAAGGCCACAACTACCTTCAGACCATGCATCAGACCCAGCTCTTTACATGTATTAACTGAGTTACATGTAGTCAATTATTTATCCCTTTGCCAGGAGGGCCCAGAAGATGTTCCTTGGAAAAATAAAAGGGAAAGTCTATTCAACATACAACCAGCAGTGGTCCGTGCTTAATAATCTGGCACTTCCTCCACCTCCCTACCTCATTATAAAATTTGGATTCATAAAAAAACCTAGAGTCAAATTCTAGCTCCACCATGTTCTCTAACTGTGACTTTGGCATTCGTCCTATGCCTCAGTCCTTCCCCCTGCAATGTGTGGCTGTTAGGATTGTCTGGAGTTTAACTGAGATGATAGGTATGGCATGCTGGACCTGTAGTGAGCATTCAATAAGTGTCTGCCATCACTGTCACAGTTAGGACATCTGGGACATGGCAGAGGCTCAAGTGGCTTCTGAATTCTTTAGGAATTCACTAGAGGGAGCCAAGTTGGGTAGAGTGGGGTGGCAAGAGTTGGTTAAATATAAATGGATCAAGGGGCTTCCCTGGTGGTACAGTGGTTGAGAATCTGCCTGCCAATGCAGGAGACATGGATTTGATTTCTGGTCCGGAAAGATCCCACACGCCATGTGGCAGCTAAGCCTGTGAGCAACAACTACTGAGCCACCATTCTAGAGCCTGGGAACCACAGCTACTGAAGCCTATGTGCCTAGAGCCTGTGCTCTGCAACGAAGAGTAGCCCCCGCTTTCTGCAGCTAAAGCTTGTGCGCAGCAACGAAGATCCGGCATGGCCAAAAATAACTAAATAAGTAAATAAAATAAATCTTTAAAAAGATTTAATGGATTGAGGGTTTCTTTCCCTGTCTTGCACTGGAATAAAGTGAGGGCTTTTAACACCTCCCTGCTCCTTGTTTTGAGTTAACACAGCCTCGGCTTGGACATTCAAACTGATCTTTTTGAGTCTTGAAGATGTGAAGGGCTGCGGCTGGGCTATTTGGGGTGAGGCTGTAACGAGTTGGGGAGCATGTTCAGGGAACTGGGGAAGGTGGGCAGGGGAGGGACAGGCCCTAGATGAGCCAGGGGTCCTTGGTGGCTGGAGAGGGAAGCAAGTGGGGCACCAGTTTCCTGGGAGGAGCTGGGAGGGCACCCTCAGCTCACTCCTCTTTGGGCGGATGGGGCTTCGGGAGCTGAGCCTAAAGCCTCAAGAAAGAGTGGGGCGTGACCAGGAGGCTCAGAGGTTGTCCAGCTAAGAACTGGGGCCAAGAGATCTTATCTTGTGAACCAGTCAGCGGGGGTTGCAGGGAATGAAGACAGGGTGTCCCTGGAAGCCTCCGTCCTATTTTTTTGCCAAGTGGGGAAGATGGTTCATCCCCTGGGAAACTATTTCCACCAAGTCTGGAATGTTTGGTTAAAAATGGCCCCGTTAGGGCTCTTGGGGCTTTGGTCCTGCTGTAACAGAAGGGGTACCCCCAGGTTCTCCCCAGCTCAGCCCCAAAAACAGGGGTCTGGAGAAGCAAGGGGATCCCATTCTTGTCCTTGAACACCGAGATTGCGTGTGACATTTGTATAACCCTCCCATCCATCTCTGTGCCCGAACCCGCCACTGAGGCTCACATCCCTTCCCAGCTATCCCATCCCCACCCCCTGTCCCCACCCCACCCCTGACCCTGGTGGTGGCGGGCCCCCTCCCCTCCCAGGAAGGAAAGCAGGAAGGCTCTCTCTACCCCGTATTTACACTGACGCGATTTGACTCCATGCTGGAAGCGGCACTGCTCATCCGCGTCGTAGGCCTGGCCAGGGGCCACGGTTGGGTACACGAAGTCCTGTCTGGGGGGCCGGTTGTTCAGGCAGAGCCCCAGGCCTGAGCTGTGGAGAGAAGAGAGCGGCTGTCACACTGGAGGGCTGCAGGCCAAGAGCACAGGGGCCCCAGTTGGGTGCGGGACCCTGGGGAGCAGCCCTGAGCAGATCACCCTCCTTGGAGGCACCCCCTTTTCCCCCAACATGAGTGTGAGACCCTGGGCAGGCAAATCCTCACTCCAGAAAGCTGGTGATGTAGTCGCGGCTACAGGAGGACCACACAAATGGGTTGGTCTTCATGGTGATGTGAGCCGCCATGAGCTTCGCTGGGTCCTGGCCACGGGCCCCGCAGCTGTTGCCCACGCCGTCGTGGTTCATGCCAAACCTGGGGATAGGAGCAGCAAGCAGCTCCACCAGGTGTCGGGCGACACTTCCCCGCTCCGCCTGCCTGCCGCCTCCCCTGTTCCCGGCCTCACGTGTGTCCGATCTCGTGGGCGATGGTGAACGCCGTGGCCAGGCCGATATCCTCGTTAATGCTACAGCTTCTCTCTCGCTCGCACATCCCGCCCACAGGGGCCAGGCCTGGGGAATGGGCATGGGGGTGGGGTGGGGCTAGGGGCTCAGGGCTGTGTCTGTCGGTTCTGCCCACTCTGCCAGGTCCCCACCCCCACCGGGGCCAGTGTCACCCAGCCCACCGCCTTCAGAGGTGCCTGAAACCCAGGGGACCCGGGTACCTAGTGTGCCGCAGGGTTTGTTCTTGTAGATGCAGATGTCATAGCTGTGGGAGGAGGCGGGGGTCAGGAGGCTGGGCCGCCCCCCTAAGGGCCGCCCCTCCCCCACCCCGCCCCTCTCACGGCTGGCCCAGCCTCCTCCTGGCCAGCAGCTGTGTCTGGCGGCTTTCAAAGCGAGGCCCTGGCCACGTGAGCATGTGACAACTGAACAAACGACAGAGTGAAGGATGCGTCAGTGCCCAAATAGACCCCCACCTGCCTCCCCACATTCTCAGGCTCCCAGCAGTGTACCTAGTGTGCCGCAGGGTTTGTTCTTGTAGATGCAGATGTCATAGCTGTGGGAGGAGGCGGGGGTCAGGAGGCTGGGCCGCCCTCCCCCACCCCGCCCCTCTCACGGTCGAGTCCCACCCCTGAACCAAAACCTCATGCTCTTCCCCCAGCCAGCCTTGGAGATGCTGGGGTGTATGAGTGGCCAACTGAACAAACGACAGAGTGAAGGATGCGTCAGTGCCCAAATAGACCCCCACCTGCCTCCCCACATTCTCAGGCTCCCAGCAGCTTCTCCCCCTCCCTGGCTCCCCGACAGGGCAACTGGACAGTCCTGGTCTCTCCCATCTCCCAGCACAAGTGGCCTCTGCTGGGACTTGGGCAATCCCCTGGACCATTCGCTCCTCCCCCTGGCCCCCTCCCGCACAGAAGGCCCCCCAGGAGCCTTCCCCTGCCCCTCACCGCGTGATGAGCACTGCCGTGTCATGGTTGGCCACGCCATTCTCCGGGATGGCATTGCCATGGCCGCTGCGGTTCACGATGGACTTCTGCCACTTACAAAAGCTGTCCAGGGACTTGCCAGCGTGGTGGGTAATCTCCAGGGTGGGCTGAGGATGGACAGAGTGAGGTACACGGGTACCAGCCACCCAGGGGGCAATGCAGGCAGTGCTGAATTCTGTGGTGGTGGAAGGTGGGGGAACCTCCCCCCTCCCCCGCACCTGGTCCTCCGTGAGCAGGATGAGGCGTGTTACCAGGATATTAACGATGTTTCCCAGACTCGAGTCCTGGAAAAGTTTGGCAACCTGACCTCCAAGAAACAAGAGAGACCGAGTCTTAAGAGGGGCCCAGAATAGGAAACTTTAAGAGAAACGAGGACAACTGTATCAATCAAGTGCCTACTGTGTGCTGGGGCTCAGGCTATGCCTGCTGCCCAGATCTTCACAGAAATAGGTATTAGTATTCCCATTTTACAGATAAGCCACCCAATGCTCAGAGAGGTCAGGACACACAGCTGGTAGGTGCCGAAAGTGGAACTCGAGTCTAGCTAAGCCTGCCTGCTAGCGTTTGTCTTTCCAGCTCAGCCTGTCTACTTGTCCTCCATCCTCGATGCCCACCCAACAGCTGCCTCTGCCCAGAGGCAGCCTGAAAGATGTGCACATCTGGCCTCATTCCATACTGTCTTTAAGGCACTATTTTAAGCATCACCACTGGAAAGTGGAGGTGTGGAGGCAGGAAGCTCTGGAGACAGTGGTCAGAGAGAAGGAGGAAGTGGTCAGAGGAGAGGTGGATGACGGAGGCCACTTTGTGCAATGACCTTGAAGCCCTGAGCCATCACCATCCCATGTGGAAACTCCCCAGAAACCCTGGCAGGTTAGAGGAAACTTGGAAGCCCAAGGAAGGGAGGCAGAGCCTGGGCAGAAAACAGTGGGGTTAGGCATGATATTATGTCTACATAATAGGTCATCTGTCTGTGCTAAACTTTCTCTCTTCCCTTTTTGCTTCAGTGGAATAACAGCATCACTCACCAAGCCCTGACTACGTGCCAAGTTGTCTAGCTGTCTTCCCTCCCACCACAGTTTTGTGACAGGTACTATTATAATCCCATTTTACAGAGGCAGGAACTGAGGCTCAGAGAGGTCCAGAGTCTTAATCAAGATCCAAGATGGGTGCTGACTCTGAGTATGAGTCAGCCAGCTCATCTTGTATAAATTTATAGGAAGGCGCTTGGGTAAGCTTTGCATGCAGACAGATGCACGCCCATAAGTGTACTGCTAACCTCAACAAGTACCTGCAAGTTGCCTGTTTAATTTTATACAGCAAACAATTATAGGGTAAGTACTGTGAGTTAGGTGCATCTGTGAGCACTTTAGCAATTCACTGCATCCACTTAGCCTTATGAAGTTGGTACTATTATTAAACCCATTTTACAGGTGGGAAAACCAAGGCAGAGAGGCAAAGTAGCTTGCTCAAGGGCACACAGTCAAAGATTGGCAAAGCTGAGATTTAAGCCCAGGTTGGTTAGCTCCTGAGTTCATGCTCCTAGCCACCGTGCTAGGCTACTTGTCACTAACAGGCTTTGCTTCTAACGCACCCTGTCCCCTTCCCATTCTGTTTCACTGGCATTTGATCAGCGATGGGGGGATGGTGACAGCCCTTTTCCTGGCTCTGGAGGTGGGCTCCACATTTTGGGGGGTCCATGCCCAGGGAGGGGGAGGCACTTACAATGTTCATGATGGCCAGCACGTACTGTTCCACATCCCGGCGCCCGTGGTAGGCCACCATCATCTTGTCAGCCACCACTAGGGTCTCCACGTAGCGCTCTCGGCTGACGGAGCGCTTCAGGCCTGGTTGGCCACGCTCTGTTTCATTGCCGAGGGGCCGGGCAGGTGGCGGTTTCAGGGTGCGCAGCCACCACGGCCGCCCCTTCCACGGTTTCTCATCTGGATGGACAATTTCTGGTCATTCTGCTGCTCGAGCTGTCCGAGTCCCTGTCTGATGGTTCATCTGGCTGTCAAACACCTCATGCTCTGGCTCTTGGTTCTACAATGGTGAGGCTGCCCCACTGCCAAACTCACTGGTCGAACAGCCTCCCAGCATCCCATGACAATCAACATGACCATGCAACTTCCCGACAATTCTACTGCCAGAATCGAGGTGTGTAGCAGCCTGCTACACTGCCAGAACTGTGTGTTGGTATGACTCTCTGGCCTTCTGACTGGGCAACTTTTTACTCACCCTGTAGCCCAACTGTCTGGCTGTAGAATAATCCCCCTGCCTGACAGTCTTTTCTGACCAGCTGTCTCACTGCCCATCCAACTGTGACACCACTTTTCTGTTAGGACAACTCACTGTGGTTGTGTGTCTGCTATGATATGCTACTTTGAGACTGTCAGATATGCAACTAACAACATTCCAGTGGTTCTGCATTTTCACTGGACAGAGATTATTTTTTTTAGCTCTATGACTATCCTGGTGAATCCCTGTTGTCCAGCTGGCTCCCCCAGTGGCTCAAGACAGTAAACAATCTGCCTGCAATGTGGGAGACTTGGATTCAATCTCTGGTTCGGGAAGATTCCCCTGGAGATGGGAAAAGCTACCCACTCCAGTATTCTTGCCTGGAGAATTCCATGGATTGAGCAGCTTGGCAGGCAATAGTCCAAAGGGTTGCAATGAGCTGGACACGACTGAGCAACTAACACTTTACTTCCTTTCCTATCCCCTAAATATCTGATGTTATAACCGTCCCCCTGCACATCTGGTTGTAAATCTGATCTTCTGAATGGTGGCTAATTTCTCCTGACATTTTCCATTGTGCAACTGCTCCAGTATCTGCTACCACTATCCCACTGCTTAATTGTCTGATCAGATGATAATCCCAGAGATGGATGGTTTTACAGCACCTGGCTGGCTATCTGGCTGCCTGTCTCATTCACTGTTGGGCCATTGTTAGCGCTCTCGGCTGACGGAGCGCTTCAGGCCTGGTTGGCCACGCTCTGTTTCATTGCCGAGGGGCCGGGCAGGTGGCGGTTTCAGGGTGCGCAGCCACCACGGCCGCCCCTTCCACGGTTTCTCATCTGGATGGACAATTTCTGGTCATTCTGCTGCTCGAGCTGTCCGAGTCCCTGTCTGATGGTTCATCTGGCTGTCAAACACCTCATGCTCTGGCTCTTGGTTCTACAATGGTGAGGCTGCCCCACTGCCAAACTCACTGGTCGAACAGCCTCCCAGCATCCCATGACAATCAACACGACCATGCAACTTCCCGACAATTCTACTGCCAGAATCGAGGTGTGTAGCAGCCTGCTACACTGCCAGAACTGTGTGTTGGTATGACTCTCTGGCCTTCTGACTGGGCAACTTTTTACTCACCCTGTAGCCCAACTGTCTGGCTGTAGAATAATCCCCCTGCCTGACAGTCTTTTCTGACCAGCTGTCTCACTGCCCATCCAACTGTGACACCACTTTTCTGTTAGGACAACTCACTGTGGTTGTGTGTCTGCTATGATATGCTACTTTGAGACTGTCAGATATGCAACTAACAACATTCCAGTGGTTCTGCATTTTCACTGGACAGAGATTATTTTTTTTAGCTCTATGACTATCCTGGTGAATCCCTGTTGTCCAGCTGGCTCCCCCAGTGGCTCAAGACAGTAAACAATCTGCCTGCAATGTGGGAGACTTGGATTCAATCTCTGGTTCGGGAAGATTCCCCTGGAGATGGGAAAAGCTACCCACTCCAGTATTCTTGCCTGGAGAATTCCATGGATTGAGCAGCTTGGCAGGCAATAGTCCAAAGGGTTGCAATGAGCTGGACACGACTGAGCAACTAACACTTTACTTCCTTTCCTATCCCCTAAATATCTGATGTTATAACCGTCCCCCTGCACATCTGGTTGTAAATCTGATCTTCTGAATGGTGGCTAATTTCTCCTGACATTTTCCATTGTGCAACTGCTCCAGTATCTGCTACCACTATCCCACTGCTTAATTGTCTGATCAGATGATAATCCCAGAGATGGATGGTTTTACAGCACCTGGCTGGCTATCTGGCTGCCTGTCTCATTCACTGTTGGGCCATTGAACTCTGGAAGTGACAGGTGGGCTGTTCCACTGCTACTGCCCTGCTGACTGTCTGCATTGCTCCCTGCATGCAGCTGATCTCCAGATGGAGGGACACCGGCATGTACCTCTATCTCGAGGCACAGGTATTGTGCAGTCCCTCTGCCCAGCCCCAGACAGCCAGTTGTACCTCTCACTCCACAGGCTGTGTCCAGGTGAGGGTGACGCAGAGAGGAACGCTTATACACCACGTGGGGGCCACTCTCCTCCGGTCCCCGGTGCCCCTTGGGCCCCCCTTGCAGGGGCTCGATTAAGTATTCTTCTTCATCTGCCACAATCAGGCCGTGCTGGGGGTTGGGAAGTGGGACAGAAGGTTCGGTCAGGTTCTGGTTCCCAGGACCCCGGGACCCTATCTCTGTCGTTCTGATTTCATTCCTTCTGTTTCACTTGGTTTACGTTACTACTGCCTTTTCAGTTTCTTCAGATGGGTGTTCAGCTCATTAATTTTCAGCCTGACCTAAGGCTACACATTTTCTTCTAAGCACTGTTTTAGCTGCATCTTAAAATAGCTAATCCTCTTGATGAGCTCAAAATGTTTCAAAATCTCCCACTGAGGGGGACTTCCCTGGTGGTCCAGTGGCTAAGACTCTGCACTTCCAAGGCAGGGGACCCGGGTTCGATCCCTGCTCAGGGAACTAGATCCCACACAGAACAACTAAGAGTTTGCATGCTGCCACCAGAGATGCGGCATGCACGACGGAAGACTGAACATCCCGTGTGCTGCAACTAAGACCCGGTGCAGCCGAATAAAGACAGAAAGGAAGAAAGAGAGGGGGGAAAAATTGGAATGATAAAAAACCCTGCTGTTGTGATTTCTTCTGTGACCTATATAAGTGTTCTTCTTAACTCCCAAGCTCGTAGGCATTCCACCCTTTCTCCCAGAACCCTCCACTCACCAGGCCCCCGCAGGTGCTGATGGCCACGTGGGAGCTGCTGGCCTGGCCCTGCAGGTGGCCCGCGTAGAGGCAGTGGGGCCGGGCGGCCCTCTGCCAGGCCAGGCCTTCTCGAGTCCAGTACTCCACAGACACGTGCCCTGCCAGGAGGCGAGGGCTGTGTGTCAGGTTTAGCAGGAAGTGGGTGCTGGGTGCGGCCACCTTGTAGAAGAGACGGGACTCTGCTTGAGGTCCCGTGCCCCGACGCTGCCTCCGGGGAGCCGGGGGCGAGAAGGCCAGCAGTGCCCCGTTGTGGTCCACTCGGGTGGGGAAGGCGATCTCATAGCTGTCTAGACTGGACAGGAACTCATCTGCGGGTGAGGGTCAGAGGCCTGGGGTGGGCCCCGGGAAGGAGCCCTGTGTGCTGCCTGCTTGGCTGCCGGGTGAGTGAGGCTGGCTCCAGTGGCCCCTGAATCTGGGTCACTGGCCGCAAGACTCTGGCCTCACCGACCCCAAGGCCTCCCCCCGCCACGATCCCCGTTCAGTTCCCACTGCCACCCCCCATCCTGGGTTGGGCCTACCTTGAGACCGGAAGGCGTGTGTGACCTCGAATGCGAGGCCCAGCCCCAGGGCGAGGGCCCAGTGGAGGATCTGGCAGGCGGGAGCCATAGAGGCCACGTGTCCACATGTCTCTCCCCAGCCCCGGCTGCTGGCAGCCCACGCAGCGCTGCCTTCCCTGTTCACAGCCTGGGCAGCATCACCGGGCTCCTGGGAGGTGTGGGAAGCTGGGTCAGGGGGGGCCTGGACCTACTGCCGGCTGGAGCAGTGCCAAGGTCCCTTGCCAGGTGGATAAGGGCACCTGCAGCCAACCCTCTCCCCACTCCAGGTTTGAAGACTGAACCCATCTCTAGCTCAGTAAACTCCCTCCTCCTGCCCGCCCCCCACGCCCCCAGCATCCTCCTTATCCTCTTAGGACAGCTGAGGATCTTGACTCCATGAGCACCTACTATGTGCCGGCTACTGGCCAAGCACATTCATGCCATCTGATTTCATCTCCACGATAACCCTTAGGATTCACTCATCAGGTGGTGACTGTACATAAGATAGGCTTCCCTGGTAGCTCAGGTAGTAAAGAATCTGCCTGCAATGCAGGAAACGCAGGTTCCATCCTGGGTTGGGGAGATCCCCTGGAGAAGGGCATGGCAACCCACTCCAGTATTCTTGCCTGGAGAATCTCATGGACAGAAGAGCCTGGCGGGGTACAGTCCATGGATAATATGAATATAGTCCCTGCCCCACTCCCCACTCAACCCATGGGACTCAAGTCTCCCAGGAGCAAGAGGACAGACCAGTAAATGAAGAGACACATGATTCAGATCAAGACATGTTCTTTATGAGAAGTAACCGAGAGGCTTGAAAGTGGAGGTGGGAGGATGAAGACAGGAGAGGGTGTGCCAGGGGGAGGACCAGCAGGAGCAAAGGTCCCGGGGGCAGGGAGGAGCTTGGTGCGGACCCATGACCCCGAGGGCCAGTGCAGGAGGACCACACGGGGAGAGGGAGACTGGCCTGGGACACATGTGAAGGTCGGCCAGCGAGAATTTTCAACCCAGATGAAACCCAAGGCCAGTGCTTGGCACCCCTCCCACCCTGGGTGAGGGGTCCCGCCCTGGGATTCTCTGCCATGGGTAGAACGACTCACCCCGCCCTGCATCCTGGTCTCTGTCCCCGTGACCTCTCTTCACCCTAGCCTTCCAGCCTGGCCCTTAGTCCCGCTTCCTCTCATTTCCGATTCTTCCTCGAAGCTTCAGGCCTGCGGGGCAGGTCTGTTTCTCCAGCCTCTACCCTGGGCCAGCCTGCCACAGACACCGCTCTGGGCCACCACCCCGTGCCAAGCCCTCCACCCCCTCCTGTCTCCGCCCTCCTCCTCCTCCTCTGTGCAATTTCCCCCTTAATCACACACTGTCTTGTTTTCTTTGCAGCCTGGCCAAGTCTGAGAGTTGATCCCCAAACAGGGCAGTTCAGCTTCTGAGGGGTGAAGCCAGATAGATGCTGACTTAGAAGCTGACCTCTCCCCCTCTTCTGATTGGAGTCCCCCACCCCCCCCGCCCCAGTGATGGGGAGCTCACTCTCACTCTGACTGTTCCTCTTTTCAGACAGGCTGATGTTCACCCTGGGGGTTTCTTTCTCCCCCTCCTGTTTACCTTTTGGGGGCTTCAGTTGGTGGCGCGGTGTTGAACCCTTGTGTGCGGGTCCCTCTGGGCCTCAGTGCTTCTTCTGGGAGCCTGGACAGGGTGGGAAGGGGCAGTGAGGAGAGCGGAGCTGGGGCTGGAGTTCAGGGGTCACTGAGGACACCTTCTCCCCTGCCCTGGTCAACCTCCTTTTGGCTTTTATCCTCCCTTGGTTCCTAGTCTCCAATCCCCCAAAGTTCCCTCCTCCCCCACTTCTGTCCCCCTCTCCCACCCCACTCCCATCTCCTCTCCCATTCCATCCCTGACTAGCTCTGGGATTAAAGCCCTCCCTGCGTGGGGTCCCTTGAGTCCCTTCCTGCCTTAAGCACCTCCCCATGTCCAGGAGGCAGCATTCTCCCTGCAAACGAGGCTGGAGCCCCCGGGCCTCCCCCAGTCCCGTCTCTCTCCTCCTGCCCCTGCCAGGCCTGGTACAGTCCTCACCTCCTTCCTCTGAAGCTGGGCCCCTTCCCCCAACAACCTCACCCGCCTCTGGTGCTTCCAGCTCAAGGGGGTGTCGTGGAGAGGGTGGAGGACCCAGCGCAGGTGATGGGTGGGGTGGGGTCGGAGGAGCCTGGAGGGGGGGTCAGGTACGAGGTGTCTACCAGGGGGAGGCCAGCATCTGTAACAGGGGGACAGCCTGTGTTGGTGGGGGGGCATGAACAGCTTGGTGACTCTGGAGCAGGGAAGAGAGGAGGCTTGGGGACAGGTAGAGGATTCCGGGCCTGACCTCTAGGGGTGGGGGCAACAGGATGTCAGCAGGGGGTCTCCCCCAGGCTGCGTGTGGGGGGCGATCACACGTCTGTGAGTGTGTGACTTTGTGTGGTGTCTGCCCACGTGACTGTGTGTGTCTGCCCATGTGACCCTGCGCGCGGCTGCAGGAGTGTGTTTGTGTGTGTGTGTGTGTGTGTACCCAGGCCTGGCCTTCCCCCCAGCTCCTCCTCCTGGAAGGCAGGAGGGAGGTGGCCGGCGTGGGGGAGGGTGCCAGCTCGCTGGAGGCTGGGGGAGGAAATGCCGGACGGAAACCGCCGCTACTACGGAGACTCCATCCCACCCTGGGGATCCTGGGGGGACCCCCGCTGCTCTACACCCAGACTCCAGGGCTGTGCTGGGGGCCAGGGCCACAGAGTCTCCCTGTGGAGGCCAAGGCCGAGATGGAGGCTGCCCCGGGGCAGGACTCCCAGCCTGGAGAGGAGAGCAGACAAAGGCCCAGCCCGGGAGGAGGCCGGCACCCAGGCACCCGCTGGGTAGGCAGCCAGCCGCTAATTAAAGGCCCTGAGCCCCTGGCTGGAGACGCCGGAGACAGACCTCCGAGCAGGAGGGAGGTGGCCGGCGTGGGGGAGGGTGCCAGCTCGCTGGAGGCTGGGGGAGGAAATGCCGGACGGAAACCGCCGCTACTACGGAGACTCTATCCCACCCTGGGGATCCTGGGGGGACCCCCGCTGCTCTACACCCAGACTCCAGGGCTGTGCTGGGGGCCAGGGCCACAGAGTCTCCCTGTGGAGGCCAAGGCCGAGATGGAGGCTGCCCCGGGGCAGGACTCCCAGCCTGGAGAGGAGAGCAGACAAAGGCCCAGCCCGGGAGGAGGCCGGCACCCAGGCACCCGCTGGGTAGGCAGCCAGCCGCTAATTAAAGGCCCTGAGCCCCTGGCTGGAGACGCCGGAGACAGACCTCCGTCGAGGCCCCAGTGACCAACTCAGGGGAAGTGGGCGGCGCCCCTCCCACACCCAGACACACACACACACACGCATACAGAGACTTGAGGGTGGCCATACCTGTGCAGCCGGGGAACCAACAACCAGACACCCCCAGACCCACAAGACACCCCCCCACTCAGTACACACTCACACCTCCCAACACCCAAGACACAACCACACACTTCCCAGACCTACATGCACACACACTCATTCACACACATACCCCACAGACAGACACACACACCCGGGCCTACGTGCACAGACACGTACACACTCAGAACAGACCAGAACACACACAGTCCTGCAAACCTTGAGACCCACCAGATGTCTGTACCCACAGGCATTTACACACTCCTTACACCCTGACACACAGAGGGAGACACGCCGGCAGATGTGTGCAAACACACACTCATCCGGACACTTACCCAGGAGACACTGAACTCCGTGCACACACTGGCTTACACTCACACTTCCGCAGACACACAATACCCACATCACACATCACACACAAGTTCAAACACAGCCAGACATTCAGATTTTCACGTAGGCGCACAGGCGCTGACACACGGCATTTACACAGACGTGGATATCCACATCCACACACACGCACACCCAGAGCAAACAAACCCAGACCCGAGCTCCCAGGACCCCAAGGGCGCGGTGCGTGTCGCACAAGCTCAGGGGCATCGCACACCGCCGCGGCCCCCACGGCCCGACGTCCCCGGCCCCGCGGCCCGGGGCCAACCCCGGGCTGCGTTGCGGACACGCAGGGTAAGGGGGAGATGGAAAGGAAAGAGGTGGGGCAAGGGGGAGGAGGCACACCGGCTGGGGGGATCAGAGGCAGGGAAGGGGGAAACAGCGAGGGGGAGGGGAGGGCCCACCCCCTCGCCAGCATCCACAGCGTCCACAACAGCTGTTATTTATTGAAGGCTCCTCCTCGCTCAAGCAAGCATTTATTGGGCGCCTCCCGTGTGCCAGGCACAGTGCCCAGGGAGCCTGGATCCATCTCAACCTGCTCCCGCCCTCTCAGCTCTCCCCTCTGGGAGTTTGAGCAGCCCTGAGCCTGGGCGTGGCCTGACCGGGCCCATTTCACAGAAGGGGAAACTGAGGCCAGACGGTGGGGGGAGAGTGAACGCTCCCTGAGAGGAGGGGTCCTGTGGGTTTTGGACAGCCCTGGATCAGTGCGCCATAGATGAGCTAATGCATGAACAGGGGTGACCTGGAAGGTCAGAGCAAGGTTGGGATTTGAACCCTATGTGACTGGCACCCCCTCAGGCCTCTGGGCGCCCGTCCAGGAGGCTGGAGCTCCTGGACAGGATGAGGCGGTGACCCCTAGACCTCACCATTCCAGGTATTTTCCAGGCCTGGCCCCCAGGGAGCTATGCAGAGGCTGGGCTGGCCTTGCCCTTGGCCTTCTCAGCTTCCTCATCCCTGGGTGGCTGAGGGGGCCGGTAGTAACCTTTACAGGGCCGCTGGGGGAGGGGTTCTCTCCATAGCAAACTTGTTTTTGCCTTGAACTTGGAATGACTTCTCAGGGCTCCTGCATACTGTAGGTGCTCTGTGAATACCACAGTCCTCCTGGAGCTCCCACCAAGTTGACCCTTCACCTCCATCCCATCCTGTCCCCCCTGCCCCACCGCCCATCCCGCCAGATGGGGGGGCAGCCCATCCTCCTGTTTGCTGCCCACTCCCCGGAGGGAGGAGCAAGTCTAAATGAGCCCTCTCTGCCTCTGCCAGCCTGACCCTCTGTTCCCCTCGTGGGCCTGTTGGGAGCCCGCCCTGCGCCGCCTTCTGTTTACCTCTTTCTCCATCCGAGTTGGGGGGCGGCTGCCTTTGTTTTCTCTGTTTCACTGATGCTAAAAGCTCCTCCTTTCAGCCCAGTCTGGTCCAGCCACAGGCCCTTCGTCTGCTGATGGGTGGCCATCAGACAGCATGGAGAATTTCTTGAGTTGCTTTCAGCCGGGAGAGCTCCCAGGCTGGGCCACTTACTAGCTGTAAAACCTCATAATTATCTGGGAAACGGGCTCTTTGCATCCATGCCACAGGCCCACATGTCCTCTGGGTGCTCCCTCTGCCCACTAGGTGTGGTCTGAGCAGAGCAGGTAACTTGGCTGTAAGCCACACCCACATCCCATCTCCTGGGTTCCTGGATTGACGGGAGGATGGGCTTGCAAACCACCCTTAATAAGCTATGTCAGGGCTTTTGTGTGGAATCCTGGGAAACAGACTTCTGTAGCATTTGAGACTGAGTCCCCATCTTAGGGAACATGAACTCAGTGGACATGAACTTGGGCAAACTCCGAGAGACTGTGAGGGACGGGGAGGCCTGGGGCATTGCAGTCCATGGGGTTGCAAAGAATCGGACATGACTTGGCGACTGAACAACAACCCCATCGTGTACAATGGGAGAGACATCTTCAAAGACTGAAGCCAACAGACTTATGGCTGCCAAGGGAGAAGGATGGGGGAGGGAGGGATTGGGGTTTGGGATTAGTAGATTCAAACTGTTTTGTATAGGACTGATAAACAACAAGGTCCTACTGTACGGCACAGGAAACTATACTCAATATCCTGTGATAAACCATAATGGGAAAGAATATGAAAAAGAATGTATGTATGTATACTTGAATTGCTTTGCTGAATAGCAGAAATTAACACAACACTGTAAATCGACTATGTTGTTGTTACTGAGTCACTGAATCATGTCTGACTCTTTGCAACCCCATGGACTGCAGCCCACCAGTCTTCTCTGACTATGGGATTTCCCAGCAAGAATACTGGAGTGGGTTGCCATTTCCTTCTCCAGGGGGTCTTCCAGACCCTGGGATTGAACCCGCATCTCCTGCACTGGCAGGCAGATTCCTTACCCCTGAGCCACCAGGGAAGCCTAAATCAACTATGCTTCAACTAAAAAAACAAACAAACCACGGCTAGAGCCACCAGGCAGAGGGGGTAATAGCCTTAGGGCCCTCATTTCAGCTCTGAAACAGCTGTTCCTGAAACCCATAGCTGGGCTTCCATTCGTGGAATCTTTATTAAGTACTATTTTGTGCTAGGTGCTGTTCCAGGTACTGCGGACACAGCCAGGAGCAATGACAATCTCCATCCCCCAGAGGTAACTGATCTGCCTCAGGGCCTTTGCACTTACTGTTCTCTAAGCCTGGAACAAACTCTGGAAGATAGTGAAGGACAGAGAAGCTCTGGCATGCTGCAGTTCACGGAACTGCAAAGAGTCAGACAGGACTTTGACTGGACAACCACCACGTGCTTGGAATGCCCACTGCATCTTATTCTTCAAGTCTAATCTCAAGTATAGCCCCCTCAGTGAGACCTGCACTGTGCCCCCTCTCACTTCAAGATTACACCCTCCCCCGACTCCTCCTCTCCCGTTTCCTGACATTTCACTCTCAGCGTTGAGTCACCGCCTGACATACTCTATGGAATACTTGTATTTGTTGATTTTCAATCTTTCTCATCAGAATGTCAGCTCTGAGGACGGAATCTTCATCTGTGTGGCCCACAGCAGTATCCCTCATGCCTGGAACAGGATCTGGCCCAGAGTTGGTGCTCAGTACTGACTAAACAGGGAGCTGGCAAAAGGCTCCCTGTGGGGGGTGGCATTGACTTTGTGGTTTGAATGTTCAAGAGGAGGAAGTGGGGGCGGGGAGTGAGGGCATTCTTGGAAGAGGGCACAGCAAGTGCAGGGGTTGTTATGGCCAGTACATCATCTTTTGATTTAAACCAGCTTGGACTGATTTGAAAGTTTTTTTTTTTTTTGGTAACTTGCAACCTTTAGAATCCGGAGTGATGTAATGAGTTGGGCCTGGAGGGATGCAGTACTCAAATGCTGCCACAGGAGGGCGCAGTGGATCCTCATTGTTGCCGTTGGACTGTAGGAACCGGGAAGATGAGGGAGAGGA